AAGTAAAATGCCTGTGGTGATAGGCAAGGGATGTTACAGGGGAGTTGCTGCAGCAAAGTGTATCAGAATAGGAAAAGAAAAGTAGCCAGAAGGTACCTCCCATAGGCATCCAAATATAGGTTTCCTCTATGTAACTACAAAAATATGTAGATGTATATGTCTCATATGTTAAGACAAAGAGGCATGATTCAAGAGAAGCCAGATACATTGTTTTAACTCATATTCACACAGCACTTTGAGCTGACATACATCTTGGGCAGATGAGGGGACTTGAAGGGTGGAAGGAAGTAAGCAGAGCCTCAAAAAGAAAAGTTGAAAGGATCATACTGTGATTAAGATGGATGCATTGCTGACAATGTCAGAGCAACAGCTGCTAAATCTAGGAGGCACTTGAAAGAGTCTCTCTATTTTGTTATATATGGAAGTCAATAGGTTATTTGGGCTAAGAACACCCTATTATTCAAATTCAGCTGACCCAGAAAGCTATGCCATCTTTCAATGGCAATTCGGAGGCCTCTGCCATTTAGATAGTGGTTTTGGTATTTCCCAGTACAAAATTGTTCTGTGTTGTCTTGTATGACATATGGATATATTGATCTCTATTTTTTTTCCCTGAAAGGTATTAGATTAGTCTGTATTAGGCTTCAGAAGGTTATTTTGTGTTTGCAGCTGGGTTTGATTGCTGAAAACTTGTCACCAGAATCTCTTTTTCAAATCTGTTAAATACCAAGGAAATGTACCATAAATTGTTTTGGCCTTCCTGTTTTGGAACTGCTTCATTACAATTTTTAATTACAGATAATATTTCTTCGTAGTAGCTTATCAGTCCTATGTATTAGCTAAGCATGAATCCTGATCCGGTTGAGAATTTTTATTCATTGGTGGAAAGTTTTCACTTTATATTGTGCATAGGAAAATATCCTGAGAATAATTTTTTGGCCTGTTGATATGGTCATGTCCTTCCCTTTCTGATGTTTCTTGATCTCCATTTTTCATTGCATCATATTACTCTGCCTTTCCTCTTTATTTTTTTGCCCTTGACTTTTATGTCCACGCTACGATTTGTGTTGACCTTGAGGTTGCCCTCAATTAGCTGAGCCATTTCAGTATCATGGCCCACACCAAAACCCTCCACAGTGTGCTTCTGATTTGAAAAGCAGGGCCATCCTAGAAACAGGTCTGTGACCATTTTTCTTTTCCTTTCAAGTTAGTGTTTATTTCCAGGCAATAAAGAGAAGGAGTGATACAAAAGAGATAGAAATCAGAAGCAATAAATCATAGGATTGCTTGTGGTAGGTTTCCTGTGCTCATGCCTGCAGTGTCTGTGCCACCTGCAAAAGGAGGAGGATTAGGAAAGGTTTGTATGAGAGAGATAAATCTTACCCCTGAAAGTTCAACAAACCCCTCAGAATCCAAAGGATGGCTGCCAGGAATCAAGATCAGGAATTTGATAAATAATTGTCAGACAGCAGGTTAGTCTGGCCCCATGGGTGACCCTAAGTAGGAGGAGGGTGTTAAGAGTGGCCAGATTGCAGTACGGTTGGGGTTCTTTGCCATTGATGACAGAAGCCCCAAGACCCTGCTTGCATGTCTCCTCCTATGGCTACACTTGGCCGCATGCCATGCCCTCTGTATGGAAAGCCAGTGTTGGCCACTCTTCTTTAGCTGTCCCCATTCAGTATTGGAATTTGCTCTCTGGACAAAGTTCTATACTGACAACAAGAAGCCTTGCTATCTAATGGCTGGGTGGGGATTGGTTTTGGCTTGTGAGTAGACAGAGATGAGGGTAGTTTGTAGTGTTATCATAGAAGATGTGGTATGATCAAAGGACCTTTGATCTCCTTGGCTACTTTCTGTTCTTTTTTACCTTTCTCTTTTCATTCATCCGTTATTTTTCTGCTTTTCAGATTCTGATCTATGGAGCAGCAACAGTCCAAAAGTGTATTTGTGTAACATCTCTAGAACTACTGTGCTGATACAGTAAAAATAACAATGAGATCAAAGTAGTTTCCTATGTAGTAAAATATTGGTTAGTTTCAGGATCTACTACCTGCATATTTTTAAAGGTTAAGATGATTAGCCGCTATGTTAATTGAGGAACTAGCTGGTCTTGGTAGTGAACTAATTTTTTTTCTGTTGTCCTGTTTTCCATCTTAAGAAGATCATATTGGTCTTTAAAAGAATGGGTGAACTGTGACATCTAATGTTATCACTCACATGTCACACGTGTTTTTGCTAGATGACAGCCAGTAATAGAACGCCAATACTTGTGTCTTCTGCATCATCAGATTCTGTTTTTATACGTCTCCTGTGAAGTAATGAATGGAAATTCTGCAATGGATTTTGTGGGATGCCTTTCAATTGCAATTGTATATTGTGATGAAATGATGTTTCACAAATACCAGCTATGGGGCTATAAGCATCTGTTTCAAAATGTTCTCAAGAAACAATACATTGTTTTAGCCACATGTTATTTTTTTATTTTTTTTTTCACTTTTATGTAGGCTTTATATTTTATTTGATAAAATAAAAGTTACTTTTGTGTTTTGACAACCAAAACCAGTCAGTCCAGACTTCAAAGTATGTCAGTATTTAGTATTGATAAAGTAGTCCATGTTTGCTTGTTGCTACACATTTACAAGAAATTAGCTAGTCCTAGATAATTTTTTTTTCTCCAGCACTTACATCTGTATATGTTTGTTTAAGTCTTAGTAACACTGGATTTCTAGTGTAAATATTTGTGATTATGCTTTTACTTTCCATCTCACTTGGAAAAATTTCAAATTCCAGATTATCTTTGCAGTTAAATAGGCTAAATGAGAACAGTTCATAAAGACATAACATTTTGCAGCATTATTTGTATTAAGGGGAATTCAGGGACTCGTGGCAACTTTTTCAGGAAAACTACTTGGGATGACAGTAGTTATTAAGGATAGCACAGAGCTGGTCATATCTTGATTTTAGAAGGCTTTCCGTAAAAGCTGTCCTGAGGAGTGGGTTGGTGTTTTGCTGGTGGCTAGACATGGACAGCGCATGGAGGTGGACTGTGATGGTTGGAGCGGGGACTTGATGCATGGTCTGATTTGTTAGTGCATGGTCTCATCTTTTATATGACATCCTGTGAGAAGAAGACAACTTGGCTGTAGTAACTGGATTAATCTAGGTTTTCTGTAGCTTCTGGTGATTACCTGAAGGAGGGTTCTGCTGGTAGGTGATTTTCTGGTAGAGGGTGTGGAAATGGCTGCTTGTCTATGAAAACAAGAACTTGTGATATGGCTAAATGTTCCCTTGTGTGTTTAACATTCATGTGAAAGTACACTGCAGTGTCTTATTTTCAATATTTCTTTTTCGTCCTTTGCTGAGAATTCTATCGGTGAGAATTAGGTATGTAATGTATGCATTAATCAGATGAACTTCTGATTTTTCCTTTTGACAGGAGTATCTTGTTTCTCCATTTGAGGCATTCACTCTGATCTCCGGGGAACAGTATCTATAAGCAAAAGGGAATTAAAATATCTGCCCTGGGTTAGTTTTATTTTTGCTTAAAGGATGAAGGAAGATGAAAGGCAACATCTTCCCCATGGTTCTTTAACATCAGAACTTGAGCCTAATAAGGGATTTGACATCCTTTTTTGTATAAATTGTTTTAAGAACTGTTTCAGGCACCTTCTAGATGGAGGTCCATGGCTCCTGGCATGAGAATGGTCTGGGATCTTCTCAGGACCTTCTGGCGTTCGGTCCCCATTGTGACATTTTGCTGTATGTTTGGGATCTGAATATCAGATATCTGTCTTCTTGCTTCCACTCCTCTAAAATGATGCCAACAGCTGATTTATACCATGTGGGGAGTGAGGATTAGTTGATTAGTCAATATATGTGAAATATTTAAATGATTATAAATGTATATAGTACGGTGAGACTGTGATTATTAGTCATGTCTTTAAAAAAAATCTTGCACTCAATTTCAAGGTCTTCTGCCTGCATAAGAATAGTGAGAGCAGACTTTTATGTTGAAGTTGTAGAAAGCTATCTTAGGTTAATTAAAGTTACAGTCCCTCAACATTTGTATTCTATTTGGGATGTCACTTCCAGTAAGCTTTTTAAAAATGTATTGGTGCAAATGGAAAAGTTTCAGCAAATATTAAATGCAACAATGAAGACTTTTGTTCCTCTCATTAAACCATTTCTTGATGTTTCCCGATAGATTTTCATCTAAACACTTGCTAATCCCAGAGCTCTGACAGGCAAGGCCTGCTGAATTAGGCCAACCACTGCTACAAATAGCTACTGCACATGAAACAGTAATCATTGCTTTCCAGTCTATTATTAGATTAACTTCATAGGGATTGCTTTTTTCTCCTGTGAGTTGATGCATAAATGACATGCTTTACCCACCAATAAATCTAACAGCAGAGTGGCTATGACATGATGTTCATACCCCTTAGTCCCATGACAGATTATTTTTGATTGCTGCAGAAGTTTACAGCAGCTTGAAACCATTAGAATTTAAAGGCATCATTGAAATTTTACAGCGTACCTGACTCAGACACAACAGGGCTAGTACTGAGTGAAGTTTGCAGAGTATTGGCTCCTCGTTGTGATTACCCGTCACAGGGAGTCTTACTTACTTAGACTGATCCCCAGCTGTCATTCAGAGGAGGTAAACGGTCTTAGGGCACTGCACCTTCATGGTCTCTCCTTGGAGAATGTATGCTTCTGTGCATAATCTTTCTGTGCTTGAAACTTTCACCTGGAGATAGCTGTAACAGCTGAACACGTGGAGACCATGTTATACACACAATACTTCATATACTTGCATGGATGAACATACTGGAAAACATTTGAACCTTTGTTGCATGTTAACCTTTTTAAAGATTTTTATATTGCTGATGGTCACTTTTATCCTCTCACTTACCAATAAATAAAAGTTTGTATTGTTTAAGGGTGAAATTCAGTTTTAGTAGCATATATGTGCTTTTAATAGTGTTCTTTTTTTCCAGATTTAAGAACTTTGTTTTTTCCTGATGAAACCCAGATAAAGGTTGAAAAGCTCAAGACTCTTCAAATCCAAGGTGTTTACTACTATTTATATCTCATGTGAATGAATGACTATATTTGGCTCTGGTTCTAAACTGCTTACTTGTTGTTTCATACAGCTGTCTAAAATTTGCTGCTTTTAGACATAAGAATCACAACTATAACATTGCTATCTAACTTAATAGGAAGATACACATTGATTTCCTTTGATTTTTATGTGTGTTTGTACATACCTAAATAGCATCATATCAAATTGAGGTCTCTAGATTTCCATAAATCTCTCAATAGATTTCTATTCTATTCTATGCAGTTCCTAAAATTATTTTTTTTTTAGAAAACTTTGTCTTTCACATCTAACAGCTTTACTTTTTGTTCTGGACAACGTGATTGAACCTGGTTGTGTTTTTAACTTCTGTGCTATGATAGGTATGTCATGCAGATTCAGGTCGATGAATCTGGTATTGAGAGCTAATCTTAACACAGATCTACTGTAGTTTTATATTTGACAAATATTCTTTTTAAGGAATGGCAGAATAGAGAATAAAATATGAAGACAGTATATATGATAGATATTGTTCGTAGACAGATATTAAATTCTCCAAAGAAAGCTTTAAGATATTTGCTCTAATTGGGCTGTCCTTTTTTCTTAAAAAAACCCAGAGGTGTAATGGTTAAAATTGATTGAGTCCCCTAGTAAGTTCTTTTTGGAAATGGGTTCCCAGTTCCACATATACTGTGGTCACAGGCTGGCTTTTTCTGAGTATTCTTTAGCGTAACTGTCCATTTCTGTTTCAGGGAGAAAATAGAACCAGAGGTGACAAATGTTTTTTTGTGGAATTCTTAAGCGTTATAGTTTTATATGACAGTGTACTTATAATCTTTTTGGAAATATGACTGATTTTATTAGGGTAAAATATTTATGCCTTGAAAGGAGAATAATTAAAACAAATACTGAGAAGGCATTTGGAATTTTCAAATGCAAACTTTCACTGCAGAACCTCAGGCATTAAAATCTATGTTCATTAAGTCAGGGAAGAGAATTAAAAACTCTCCATACCCAAGCATGTGTTAAATTGGGTCTTATTAGAAATTTACTTCAGGTATTTACAGTGCTCTTGGTCAGGGTTTGAGTCACGTCTCTGTTACTATTTTCTTGTGTATTCGAATACCTGAGCTGCCTAACTTAAGTCTAGTTGTGGTTGGTCTGCACACTGTAGTTACAGCAGTATGGAGAAGGCCGAGTGGTTTTTATGTTACTGTGCTCACCTGTAATGTCTGCAGGCAGGACCTCTTTTCTGTCTCTCAGTATGGGTATTTCTACCTATTTTCTGATCTTTAGTTTTATAAATGATGATGAAATTACAGCCAGTTGAGGTCTGTCTCACAGAACCTTCTGCAGATGAAATAAAAGGTGTTGACAATATAGGGAACCGTACAGTTTCAGAATTAGGCCATTTTTCTTCTGACCTGTGAGGGTCAAAACTGAAGGGAGCTGAGGATTAATCCATTGTTTATATCCATATGTAACCTTGCAACATGTGGATTAAATCTTCTCTGCACCTGTAGTATAACATTTTCCTCATGCTACAGAATAATACCTTAACTAAAACCACAGCAGCTTTCTAATGACTTCAAAGAAGTGAAAAACCACATTCAGGTTGAAAGCATTTTATTGTTTGTAATTTTTAGCATAGTGCATATTAAATGTAATAACTGATGAGTTTAGTAGAATAATCTCTATTACCATATGCAAGAAACATGCTTCCTAAGTTATATATATCTTTAAGAACTGTTAACTTTTATAGAATTTGCTGCAACAAATCATTCTGGGAATGCCGTATACTTGTGTTTTCAATTGAGGTTCCAGCATTTGGTTGAAGTATCTTCTGTACTTCCATAATCTCATAATTTCCTTCAGAGCAAAGAGAGAACAGTCTGTGTTTTGGGTGGGAGGATGAGGGAATGCTAATTGAAACGATGTAATAAAAACGTAATTTAGCAAAACTATTAGTTTTTGGTTTTTTAGTATTTTAAGCCTATTATTTTTAAAATTACTTCTCTATTAAAAAGGCTGTAAAACTGCACTGAAAGTCAGCACATTGCATCGTAATTCTCATTTTCCTTTGCATGAATAGTAAAATCTTTATAAATTGAGAACTAACATTAATTGAATAAACTTCAGTTGATGTTTCTGTTTGAATTAAAAAAGGGTATTGTAGACTTTTGCAAGAACATTTAATGGTTTCTAACATTGACCACACCTCAAACACAGTACAGGAAAAAAGTGCTGATGGAGAGAAACAATAACCACGAACACCTGTTAATTAGCATTATATGATTTACAGCTGTGTTCACTGCTGCACTAGAGTTGCCCCTCTCTATTGCTACAACATAGTTCTCCATCTTAGTTTTCGATCCAGTAAAAAAACACTGTCAGCCACTGCTTTTTTCAGCCTTAGAGCCAGCACCTTGCAGCAGTTCAGCATGGGGGCCTACCTGGAGAAATGGACTACGGGCTTCACACAGGTAACTTAGTTTTGCTGGATCACTTTTAAGCCGAGTTGGTTCCTGCTTTAGTTAGTTTATCCAAACCCCTCGCCAGGAGGGACTTTATATTACATTGGTATTACAGAAGAGTTGGCAATCAAAAGCAGTGGCAAGACCAGAGCAGGAGAGCAGAGGGCTGCTGCTGCACACATAGGCAGCTGCTAGCACTCCTAGCTTAGGCAAATAATTATAGGGTGTGATCTATCTGGCCAAGAAACTGCATGAGAAAAAAGAATCTATAGGCTAAGGTGCGTCACAAATGGAGTTGGTTGTTCATGGTGTGGTGACTTGGTTTGGGGTTGGTTTTGTTGTTGTTGTTATAAAAAGCTAGTTCTTACTTTGGGGTGTAATAATAATGTGCAACTGTGCTGGCGTGTGCACTGCAGGGGGAGGCCTGGGCTGTAATGCTGGGTGTAGAGAGAGGTGAGCATCCCAGTTGGAGAAAGAGGTAGATTCTCCTCACTTGTTAGAGTTTGGTGGTATCTCTTACACTGCAGTAATGTATTCCCGTTGTTACACACAGTGGGCTTTACAGCATGAGATGAGGTGGAACTGGGCTGTGACAAATAATCACTGTAAACCACAGTGGATGGCAGAATGCGGAATATGAGCAACTTCTCTGCATCTCTGAAAGGTTCCAAGTGCTTCTTGAAACAGCAAGAAAGCTGTTTGGGGTTTTTTTCCAGTCCCTCAGCTGGAAGCGGTGTTACCTGCAATTTCTGGGCCAATACTATGGCTTAAATATTATTTACTGCTTCTGGTGTATCTTGATTGTCAATGGCAAACTCTGAAAGGGCCTCCTTTTTTTCTGACATAGAATATAGCTACAATCCATTTAGTATAATAGAAATCACAAAATAACCCAAATATGTTAATTAGAGGAGATACAAATCTAAGATGTTACCATTCAGTCATTGTTTCTAATGATTGAAAAATGTTGTGGTAAAGTATTAATCATGTTCTGTTATCCTATAACTTCCAAAAGTTTTATGATTTTCAGGAAATCTAACATCAATTTTAAAGTATAAATGACTGTAGCAACAAATGTAGAAGACGGCATTTAGTAAAACCAGTATACTCTTGTATTAACAATGTATTTTCATAGGAGTTTGTTAATGAACAACCATTTATAGCAAAAACCTGTTATTATTAATGACAGTGAATTAAAAAAATACTAGAATTCATTGAAACTGATTCTTGAAAATCTTGATCTGAAGACTTGCTCTCAGCAAGGCCTAGAATGGATTAGTGCCAATTTCTTAAAGCATTAAAAAGATTTCTGAATCCATAGGTAAAAGGTTTCCATTAACAAATCTTGCATTAAACCAAATTTCAAGATACAAATTGGGAAATTAGTATCTAAACTTTTTATTTCCTGTTGATGTTTATTGTATTCTCTAAATCAATACACATATATATTTAAAGCTACCAAATAATTGATGCTCATGAATTCCTTTTGCATCACTGTGTGATGCTTTAAACAAAGCTGTTTAAAGCTATTTGGGTGCAGTTACATTTTGAAATGATGCTGCGTCATTTGAAGCAGTTTAAGTGGTTTACTGGGTGTTTATACCTGTGAATGCTGTCCATACCAGACGTCAAGGTAAAAAGATAGAAACCCTGTAACATGGAGCTTGCTGTCCTTGTGAGGGCAAGGAACGTTTTTTTTTGTGATTGTCATCTTGGCATTTCAGTTCTCCTCCACTAGGCTCCTGCAAATCCGTAACAATGCTGTTTTCCATAAGAAGCAACAGCAGCTTCCATTCCATGCTAGGAAGAACTGAGAGAGGCTCATAGAAGTGGAGCCTATGGGCTTGGTTGCAGCCTGTCTTCTAGGGGTGGTGGTCAGACGTTACTGGCTCTGTCTTCATGCAGTCCTCATTACTGCTCCCCTTCGGAGAGCAATTGTTGCCTCATATCTCCAGGATGAGCTGCTCAGGACACCCCTTCTTAACTCTTTTCAGTCAGGTTAGTTTAACAATTTAACATATTTTTGAAACATATTTTTGAGTTACATGGCTACTGCAGGAGTAGCACAGCTGAGACATCTGACAGCAATGTCATAGGGAATTTGATAATGTATGCCTGCTGCGTGTCTAGGTGGAATATATAGGAATATATAGGTGGAATACTTCCACAGCCAGTAACACTGCAGCTGGAAAGGATAGAGTTAAGATCTTTTTAAAATCGTCTCCACTCTCCAGTTTGGGTATATGAATGCAGTCCTGTTGCCCTTGTTTCACTTGTGGTTTGTTGTGAGGTTGGCTGTTTCCTAAGGTGGGTACCCAGTGCTGCTTGTGATGCCCTTTGCTATCTGCGGTACCACATAGGGCAAGTAGATATGCACAAGACCATGTCTTCTGGAGTAGCAGCTGTTGCTGAGTAAGGATGTATTAGGACACACCAAACTACTGGAATTTTCTTAATCTTAGGCACTAGACTGTAGAATGAAAATAGTTTGTTACAAACATCGGAAAACATAAAACTA